TGAAAAGACAAATCAAATCAAAGAAAAAAAATCAGCAGATGCTAAACAGAAAAAAATATGTATAATTTTTTTCTGCATAAAATTCAGCAGCAAATTAAAAATCAAAAGATTTTAGTTCGTTAGTTAGTTAGTTAGTTAGTTAGTTTGAAATACTTAGTGATTCATGCTGAGGATCATGTGTTAGTGTGATCATCATTTTGATGATGATCAAAATGATGATCCGCAATGAGGAATAATTTTGCCGAACAAACAAACAAACAAACATAATATCTATACATCTGGTTGATGCTAATAAAATTCGTGAAACCAAAAAAAAAACTGAAATAGAAAAAACAAGAAGAAGAAAAATATTAACTTTCCGAAAGAAAAACTTAAGTCGTAAAGTAAAATAAAGGTAAAAAAGGTAAAGATAAAGGGGAAAAGGTTGCTGTTTTTTTTCTTCGACAAAGTTTAGACATTTTGGTGATGTTATTATTTTTATTTTTCTTCTTGTTGTTGAACACAGCATGAGCTAGTCAAAAAACAAGAAAAAAAATGAAAATGAAAATTTGAAAACCAGAAGTTCAGTTGATCTGGTTGAAATGATTATATGGATGGATGAATGGATGGTGGTTCAAGGTAGCATTTTTCTTCCATTCATATTCATAAACAAATCGATATGAAAGTTAATAAAGATGTTAGTCATTTTGTAGCCGTATCATCATCATCGTATTCATGATGATGATGATGATGATAACGTTGAATATGCAAATTATATCACGTCTGAGGTTGGTTTGGAAAGAGTGAAACAAACAAACGAAAAAGGATAAAATTTTACCTGCCATGGTAACGATGCTTTTTTGGTTTGTTTGGTTTGGTTTGAAAAAAAAGTTATTGATGCTAAATGAATTTATGATGATGTGAAAAAAAAATCCAAATGTATGAAGGAATGAATCTATTGTGTTTTTATTTTCAAATGTCCACTTTATTTTTTTCCATTGCAACACATTTCTAATAAAAAAAAGGGGTATCAATAGAAAATAATAATTTCAATGAAAATAGCAACAAATCATCAACAACAACAACACATCATTTGTCAAAGAAAAAAGAAGTAGTAAATTTTCATCATTTTAGTCTATTGTTATACAATTTTTTTTATATACATTATTTCCTTCCTTTCTTTCTTTATTTATTAGATTTCAATGTACAAAAAGTTTATCCATTATCATTACAAAACACCATTATTATCACAATAAATTGATTGTGTTTATATTATTTAGTTAGGTAAGTAAGTAAGTAATGTTTTTTTCCCAAATAATAATAATAATGATGATGATCAACCAACATTATTTCCAAACTATCGATATCCGGTCGATTTATATTTACAATGATTCTGTTGTTGTTGTTGTTGTTGATTACCATTATTGTTATTATTATAGAAGCACCATATTGAACAACAACAACAACAAAAGTAACAACCAAGTTTTTTAACACAAAAAAAACGAATTGATAGTGTTCAATTCAATTCGATCAGATCGATCAATTTTCTCTCTCTCGCGCCTTTCAATCTTGTTTTTTCCTTATGTAAGAATCTTTTAGCTGATATTATAATGAACAAGAAAAAAATACAAAAAAATCAAATTCATTGTCATTCATAACTGTAAGATACATATTTGCAAATGATTATGATGATCCATTTGGAACGTCGTTTTGGTTTTGTTTGTCAATACTACCACCACCACCGTTACTATCATCATCATCATCATTATTTATCACCACTACTCTAAAACAAAAAACACCTGAATAATTTTATTTCATTCAAAAATCATTCATTCATAGTAGCTGTATAGGTGATAGATTTAGGAGAATCAGAAAAACCAGGTAAACAAAAAAAAAATTCTTTCTTTCGAAAAAAAACAAAGCAAGATACAGTGTTTCTATCTATTGAACTATCTTTCTTTCTCTCGAATACACAAATTTAAAAGAAAAAAATGTGAATAAAGAGAGACTGCTAAAATATTTTTTTCTAAATAAAAAAAATAAATAAATAAACCATTCAACCAATCTTAATACAAATTGAAATATGAATAAAAATTCACATATATCACCTGTGTGTGTCTGTGTGTTGTTGAAAATAACATTTTTTTTTTCGATGATGAAGATGATGATGAGAAACCAAACTTGATAGTAGAAAAGAAAAACCAAACAATCCAACTATCCAATTATATATGATGATGATGATATGTTTACCGCAAACAAAAACCTCTATCTATTGCTATCTCTATCTCTATCTCTCTCTCTCTCTCTCTCTCTCTCTCTCTCTCTCTCTTCTTTCTAGGCTTATATTT